GGAATTTTTTCCTAATGTCCAATCTAAACCTCCCCTGCTGCACTTTAAGCCCATTACTCCTTGTCCTGTCCTCAGTAACCAAGAGGAACAAATTTTCTCCTTCCTCCTTGTGACACCCTTTTAGATATTTGAAAACCGCTATCATGTCCCCCCTTAATCTTCTTTTTTCCAAACTAAACAAGCCCAGTTCATCAATCCTGGCTTTATAGGTCATGTTCTCTAGGCCTTTAATCATTCTTGTCGCTCTTCTCTGTCCCCTTTCCAATTTCTCCACATCTTTCTTGAAATGTGGTGCCCAGAACTGGACACAGTACTCCAGCTGAGGCCTAACTAGTGCAGAGTAGAGCGGCAGAATGACTTCACGAGTTTTGCTTACAACACACCTGTTGATACAACCTAGAATCATATTTGCTTTTTTTGCAACAGCATCACACTGTTGACTCATATTCAACTTGTGGTCCACTATGACCTCTAGATCCTTTTCCGCCATGCTCCTTCCTAGACAGTAATATGCCGGTCCCATGCTTCTTGTGCCAAAAAGCACAGCAATTTACTCCAAAATCTGCCACTGCCTTCCACCCAACCTACTTGGGTTGCTGCTTTACCAAACGTTGAATTCAAAATTCCTCCCAGCAAAAAACATCCGGTGAACCTCAGGAATGGGGCAGGGCCTGAGAAAACATGGGAGGAGCTAAAGGTGCTCAAGCAACATGACGACAGGCTCCTACATCACCTGAGAACAGACAGGAATGCAAAAACAAACGTGTGCGCAGCTCTGAGAAAACACCACACAGCACTACAGGGAAGGGACCGCTGATAACAGGTGTCCTGAGAGGGTGTGACAGGGTGAACCAGTCCCTGAGGCACCCTCTGCTGGAGTCCCGGTAATCCTGTCATACTCTGCCCCAGAGAAACCATAGAGAGGTCCTCCAAGCTGGCAAGAGTGGCAGCAGAGGAAAGAGCCAATCAGGGGCCAGGAAGCTCTACAAAAGGAGCTGCAGGAGCACAGGCAGCTCAGCGGTCCTGGAGCTCAAGCACTGCAGACGATGAGGCTGGCGGGCTGAGGAATCGGTCTCCAGTAGGAGATGCCCTAGAGACACCATTTACTCCGAGTGGAGAACAGACTATGGGGAAATGGAATTAGTGACACTAGACAAGAGGGCACCATGATGGGCCCCTGGTAAAGCTGCACCCCAGAACAGGTTTTGAGTGGGTCACACAGAGCGTGACTTGGCCAGAGAGCTAAGCAGCCAAACGGCTAATGACAGGGACAGTACAGGCGCACACTCGCCCAGATGGGGGAGCTCACGGGAGCCACGTACCACCCCGCGACAGAAGGGTTCACCTGTCATCAAAAATCCACCCTCTAGCATGCACAATTCAAACATGTTGGCAGGGCCTTTCCAAGAACCCAGTCTGCTCAGCATACGCGGGGCTCTTTAGCATTGGTAGGCAACCTGGCTAGGAGACGGAAACCCGGCCCTGCAGATGAGATTATCGTCCCTGGGTGATAACAGAAGCTGCTGCGGAGGGGATGGCCATCCCCTGCGTTACTGGCCATGACACACAGAGGACAATTCCTGGCCAGCGATTCCCGTGGGTTGTGTTTAGTTTTCACTGGGATGTGACTCTCTGATGCTCTGCAATGTGAGAGACTACACAAGCACACCGTGCCTCTGAGGAAAAGCCTGCCATTCATTTCCAACTGTAGGAAATTCAGAGACACTCCGTGAACACGCAAATCCCGCCTGCAGCAAGGCGGTGACCAGCCTCACCCCTCACGCTCTACGCAGTGTTTGTTTTTTCTCGGTGTTTCTAGCAAAACCTTTTTCCTCTGCAAGATTGGATGCCTGAGAATGTTACTTCCAAGGTATATTTCAGGCATAAGCCTTTGCAGACCCCTGCCCTGTCAGAACCTCTTTGCTAGAAGGGAGACTCAGCGCATTAAAGAAGGCACAAACATTTCTGACTCTAGCCGACAGATTCATACATTCATTTGCATTGATTTTTTTATATGTATCCAAAGGGCAAAGCACATATTTCTATTTCAAGAGGAGAACCATGTTCTACCCCCTTCTCTTTTTAATTATGGAAATGCATATCCAGGAGGTCTGGGCTAGAGGTTGAAGCAAAGGACTGGGAATTGGGAGATGCTACCAACGTTTTATAGGATGTTGGGCAAGTCATTTAACCCCTTGGCCTCAGTGAAGTGAAATGCAGCTACTTATCTATCTCCAAATGGTAATAGCAGGCATGAGTGACATTTGCAATAACATTAACAACAACAGCATTTGCAGTTGACATTTGCATTTTTGAGATTCTTAGATGAGAAGAAAAATAGAAGCAGAAGCTATTTTCTCTTCTCAGCCATGCCAGACAAACTTTAATAATACTTGTCAAGGACCGAGCTTGGTTTCTCAGAGGGCTCTCACCACTGGTTTGAGCTCCTATCTTGCCCCATGGACCTGATCCTGCACCTTCTCCTTCCTTCAAATTCACCTCTCCGGGCTAGGCCCTACAAGCAGGTTTATTCAAACCGTTTTTCACTTCTGGCCTCCTGTGGTTCAGCAAATTCTCTTTTTTCGGCACTGGTCAGGTCCTGAGGGTGCTGGACTAGAGAGGTTCAACCTGTACCTTATATTCTTTGAGGTCAAATTGCAATAGCCTTGTAATAGAAACACTTGAAATTAGTAATTTTTTTCTTAAAGACGGGTCACTATGTACACACATTATCTGTAGGTATTCAGCAAGTACTATAGATGCATTGGAAATGATGGATGATGACAAGATTGATCTTGACCTGATAGCTGCACTGATTAGACACATTGTTTTAGAGGAAGAGGTGAGTTTCCGTATGATTTGTGTAACTTATTTTAATAAGTTAATGTTCCTTCTAGCTAAATCACTTAACTCACATCATGTAACAGTTTTCAGAAAGCTGGATTGTAATTATTGATGTGAATTATGCTGAAACCAAAAATCTGTCTCAATCAATCATATAAATGTTCTTGGATCATATTACTCTTTTTTTTTTTTTTCTCACACTCGAAGCTACATACCTAATGGGACAAAAGTTTTGTATGGGCTTTTGCATGGATTTATAGTATTTACAAAACAACTCATTGAAATAAAATATTTATTTAAATTAAAATTCTTCTCTGCTTATAGTAGCGCTACAATAGAAATATTAGATATAGTCTATTTTAACAACATAGGAAAAAGACACCATGGGTGTGTCTAGACTACAGGGTTTTGTCGACAAAAGTGGACCTTTGTCGACAAAACTATACCTGAGTCTACACTACCACCGAGGTCTGTCGATATAACGTCGACAGAAGTCGGAAGCTTTGTCGATGGTGGTAAACCTCGTTCTACAAGGAATAACGCCTTTTGTCGACATGAGTGCCTTATAACCTTTAACGTATTCATCCTCACAACACCCCTCCGAAGCAGGCTATTATTCCTGTATTACAGATGGAGAACTGAGGCACAGAGAGGCTACGTGACTTGCCCAGGATCATATGGGAAGTCTGTGGCAAAGAAGAGAAATGAACCCATGTTTCTGCAACCCCAGCCTCCATTAACTCGAGGAAGTCTCAAAATCTCCTTGTCGTCCAAAGGAATCTGATTTCAAGGTCTCTGGCTATTACCTATGGTTCTGATCCAAAGCCCACTTAACTCAGTGTTAGTACTCCCAGTCTATACATCCGGTCACCCAGAGAGTGCATATACAATCCCCAATGGTGTATGTGAGCAGACCCTTTACTAGAGAAACCTGATCTGAAGTACAGCAGAGACACAGGCAGAATATTAACCAGGATATAAACATAGATTTAATACCTAAAACTGAATTAATTACAGATTTAATTCAATTACCTAAAAATTCTTGACCTTGACAACTGAAGAGGCAGACCTTACAATTTCGCCTTTTCTACAGTATCCAAGTGCAAGAAAATGCAAACGACTCTGTAGCTAAATTAACCTTGGTCTTTGGGTGAGCTGTGGAGATTTTGGTAGAAACAAGAAATGTCGTCAGACTGTTCTTTTAGAAAACAATTATAGAAATGGGCCAGGAGAGAAGTGTAATTACAGGTCAATATTCGGCGCTGGAATAATACCCACAATATATTCATCACAACTACAAAACTGCGCACATCTGTTGCCCTTTCGGTGCGAGAACCTCCAAACTCCCAGGCTACGTCTACATTGGCAAGATTTTGCGCAAATACTCTTTAATGCAAGAGTTTTTGCGTTAGTGTATTTGCGCAAGAGAGCGTCTCCACTGGCATGTGCTTTTGCGCAAGAGATGTGCTTTTGCGCCAAAGCATCCATGCCCAATGTAGACGCTCTCTTGCGCAAGAAAGCTCCAATGGCCATTTTAACCATCGGGCTTTCTTGAGCAAGAAATTCATGTTGCATGTCTACACTGGCCTCTTGCGCAAGAACAGTTGCGCAAGAGGGCTTATTCCTGAGTGGGAGCATCATAGTTCTTGTGCAAGAAGCCCTGATTTCTTACATTAGAACGTCAGTGTTCTTGCGCAAGAACTCGCGGCCGGTGTAGACAGGCAGTAAGTTTTCGTGCAAAAGCATTCGCTTTTGTGCAAAATCTTGCCAATGTAGACACAGCCCATGTCTTTTCTTTTAGTCACAAGAATATGTTGGAGTCCTGCATTTTGGCGCACTTTGCTTCTGGACTCTTGATCCTCCCCTAGCTGGTAATTCATGGTTACACCTCACTGTAATACAGCCCTTTATTGTGATGTTCACTTGGCGGCCAAAAAAAGGATGGATATTGGGGATGAACTTCAAAAAAACAGTTAAAACCTGATCCATAGCACTAATTGTGCATGGACTGCTGATGTAGCCACCTTGCCAACTATACAGAGAAGTTCTCATGTTAGGATTAAATAGAACAATGGGAAGCTTTTTTTTTTCACTTATGGCTTGAATTTTTAATTGAGAAAAGACAGGCTTGTTGTGACAAACAGCCAAAAACCTACCAGTTTTCCCAGTGTTTTTCATCCATGTCTTGTTAGAGGATTCACTGTCGAAACCATCAAGCTGTAATTCTTGATACTCTTCTCCCACACGTGCCTGATGGTCTACAATGTCTATTGGAGACTGGTGAGTGCCTCCACAATCCACACTTGAAGTAACCCAGTGCTCAGGACCATATGTACCTGTTAAAAGAAAAGACCAACAACTTATTGTTCTGATGGGGCAACAGTTAACAAAACAAACCCCTCCCAAAGTAAGGGCAGCAAGCATTTTAGTTTCCAAGGTAACTACACTGCTGCTACATTCCCTGCATATAACCTATGAAAAGAGTGAAATCCATTAACTTTCTGCAGTACTGAAATTTTGCCCCTAGCAATAAGCAACTGTACTGGTATTTCAAATTGCCCTTCTATAAAATTATCTGCTATTCACCAATCCCTTCATGACTGAGTTATGAGTTAATTTAGTGTTAACGGGAATGTTAAAATAGCTAGAGAAATAGCAGAAATGTATACAGCTTACCTGTTTCAATCAGATACTGAATATACTAATAACCCCATAACTCTAGTTTCCATGACAGATTATTCAGATGATACAACCTTAAACAACTGCTTTTTTTGAGGTTCTAGAATTGGGCAACTAGGGGGAGAACTTAATTTAAATCAAGAGAGAAACAAAGTGAACAAACTTGGGTGGGTCAAAAATCAACTACAGAGAGGAGAAATGGTAGAGATGAATGATAGGGATGTTACATTGGGGTTAGCTGACTAATTGTGTGGTCAATACAATTTGTATCAACTACACTAGGGCTGTGTCTACACTGGCATGAATTTCCGGAAATGCTTAAAACGGAATACTATTCCGTTTTCAGTTTTTCCGGAAAAGGAGCGTCTACATTGGCAGGCTGCTTTTCCGGAAAAGCCCTTTTTCCGGAAAAGCGTCTGTGGCCAATGTAGACGCGCTTTTCCAGAAAAGACTACTGGGCTGTCTACACTGGCCCTTTTCGGGAACAGTGTTCCGGAATAAGGACTTATGCCCGAGCGGGAGCAGAATAGTTTTTCTGGAATAGTGGCTGATTTTGTCCAGTAGAGCATTGTTGCTTTTCCGGAAATTCAAGGGCCAGTGTAGACAGCTCGCAGCTTATTCTGGAAAAGCGGCTGATTTTCCGGAATAAGTGGCCCAGTGTAGACACAGCCAAAGAGTCAATAAGGGGCCACTCTGCAAAGCCACAGAGGGGGTACTCCCAGTGCCAGCTGGAGCCCCTATCCACAACAGCAGCCCCTGCCCACGGTGGGCGCCCTTCTTCGTGGAAGGAAGAAGACAAGGCTTCTGAAAGAGCGTGTCTGCAATTCTGCAATAAATGTCAGCAGAGCAGACGAGTCCCTGAATGCAGCAGAGTTTTTCCAGGATACCTTACAGTATCCCAGAAAAACCCCATAGTCTAGACAGCCATACAGAGACAGTAAGGGGTGAGGGAAAGCGAGTAGTCGAGTACTCCACTCGACTGCCTGATTAGTTTATGCCTATCAGGTAGTCGAGTAGTCAATTACACCCCTAATGAATGACAGCACAGCTCAGGGAAAAATATCATCATGCTCTTCTACCATTTATCCTCTCTCAAGCTTTTACCTTCCTCGCTACACAAATCTATTTTCACATAATTCCTCAGATGATTAAATGACTCTTCCAAATCTCCCCCGAAAGAGTCCAACAGTAGCACCGTGACCCACCAAGGACAGTACATCTGGCACAGCAGTGTTTGCTTCATATAGGATTGCTGCCAAAGCAGAAACCGTGCCACAAACTGACACGTTTCCTTCCTCCCTCCCGTTGCTTTTATACACTGGGTGGGGGAGGGTTGTTCGGTTTTTTTTATAGCTTGTGAAGTGAGGTAAGTAACACTCACATCCGGCTTAACATAGGAGATATCAGATTGCATCCTGTCCTTGCAAGCACGAGGCAAGGAAGCAAAAGAGCTATTCCAATTTTTAGTGTCCTTGACTGAGTCTCCTGATCATGGGAGGTTGGTGATGGTAGGGTTGGGGATGGCAAGCTCCCAACCCCGCCCTTTCTGTTGAGGCCCCACCCCCATGGGAGCCAAGCGGTCTCTCCACCCCCTCACCATGGGGAGGCAGAGCAGCGTGCCCCCCACCAGCCTGGAGCATGGGGAGGGCAGGTGCTGGGGGCAGCAATACTCCACCCCCAGAATGCCTACTGTAGGCATTCTGGGGTGCAGTGTGGAGGGGCCAGGCTGACCGTTTGGGAAGGCCATGCCTTCCCCTGCCTCCCATACCAGCTGCCCACGCTCCTGGTTGAGGGAATTTTCAAATCCCATTCCCTACAAAGCACACTCACATTCCAACAGGTTGTTCTAATGCAGGCCACATACAGGGAAACCTGATATTAGGTGCGGTATTCACATTTTAACCAGAAGTGCCCTGTTGGCCATTTTGCCAGCTTGTAATTCACAACGGGTTTTAAAAAATCATCGATGGTCTCTGCCTATTTAGAATTCCGCAGCTCATGATTTAGCTTTTACTTT